CACAAATTGAACTGGGATTAATTAAATATATTTATTTACAAAACATAAAGTATACAATTCGTGACACAATAACAACGATGAATAATATGTACAATAATATATTAAATATACGAACACTAACAAACAATTTTCAATAATATATATGTTAAATAATACGAAATAATTGTGAAAATAAATAGTAATCGACAAAATAAGGAACGCGAAATCTCAGTCAAATAATTAACAAAAGGAAATTAATTTTGAGAATAATTTTATCAATGAATTCAGTGAAACGAGCAAGGGCGTAAATATCGACCGAATTGCGAGGCGGCTATCGAGCGAATGATAAGCGCGTATCGTTCCGTAGCAGCACGGACCCCGCTGAGTCACGTGGTCCTACCCCCACTACGGACGATATCGATTCGAGAACGATTCGAAATCCTGGTGGCTTTGCTCTTAGGTTAGTCTGTACGTCTCGGAAAATTACCGAAGTAATTTCCGTCCGTCGACTCTCACAACAGGAGATGCAATGCATCTCCCTCACGGGGCTTCATAGAGGCCTCAGAGGGACGTTGTAAACGCCCCCCCTAGCCACGGCTTGTCGACCACAGGGTCGCATAAAGCGCCCCCGCGCCGCAAAGAGATCACCTACCAGTCCATAACATAACAATAAATTATAAACAATCAATAATTAACAATTTTGATACCTCACATTTCCACTCGTTACCCCCTTGCATTCTTTACCAACGTCCTCATAACTCAAATTATTACATATATAACACCAAATCGCGGCAAACTAAAAAATACCGATAATTATAAACTAAAATGAAATATTTCGCGTTCCCGTAATCAACAATTACATTTCCTAGTCCAGCACTAGCGAAATTTATTACGGCCCAGCGCCTATTTTATTCCTAGTCCAGCACTAGCGAATTATAACATCGCGGTTGGATCCAACCCTTCCTTCCCCCCACCCCCCTTTTCTCTCGCTTCATTTGGGATATTATCATACACACACACATACACACATACGTCGTTTTCTGTGCAAATTGTTGTATTTTCTTCGAGGAGGTTTTTTTACTTGGCCAATAATTGGGATGATTTTTCCTCACAAAATAAGCCACGCGGTAGACCCAAAACGACTGTAAACAACGATACGTTAAAATCATTGGTGGAAACGGATCCAACTGTATCTACAAGGGAACTTGCCACCAAAATGGAAGTTGATCATACAACAATATTGAACAATATTGCGACACCTAACTGAATTGGTAAGGTGAAAAAAATGGACAAGTGGATACCGCACGAACTCACAGGTGAAAAAAATGGACAAGTGGATACCGCACAAACTCACGGAGCGACATAAGCTGAATCGGTTGAACGTGTGCTCATCGTTGCTAACCCGATTAAATCGAGAGCCATTCTTGGATCGAATTATTACGTGTGATGAAAAATGGGTTCTTTACGATAATAGGAAGAGGTGTGCACGATGGCTGAACAAGGATGAAGCTTGTGCTTATACTGCAAGACCATCACTTCATCCACGAAAAATTTTGATTACGGTTTGGTGGAATGTCACTGGGGTAATTCATTACTCATTCCTTCGTACTGGGGAGACAATTACAGCTGACAAGTATTGCCAGTACATTGACGAAATGCACGAGAAATTAAAAATTTTACGCCCGTCACTTATTAATCGGCATGGGCCGATACTTCTCCACTACAACGCTCGGCCGCATACATCGTACAAAACGATTCAGAAATTAAATGAATTAAAATATGAAATTTTGCAACACCCACCTTATTCGCCAGATCTTTCGCCCACTGATTTTCATTTTTTTAAACATTTAGAACAGTTTGTACGGGGCAAAAGATATGAAACTGAAGACAATCTAAAAAATTCTGTATCAGAATTTATCCAATGTAAAGATCAGAATTTCTTTAAGACAGGCATTTATGCATTAAAATCTCGTTGGGAAAAGTGTATTGAAGCCAATGGCACATATTTTGATTTAATAAACAATTTTTAAAAAAAGATATGCGGTTTTATATATGTTAGAATAAGGATATCTGCGTCCTCTATACATAGAATAAGTAATTATATATAAATAGATAATATCGTGTATTGTTAGATGGCGCGTATATGCTTGTACTCCTTTGTCCGTTAAAATTACTCCTCCTTCTTCTTCCGTACGTCGTGCAAGAACCACGTTTTGTTATCAGTGCTCCGCTTTGTAATCTTTTATGTAATTCTATCTTTATGTTTAAATATATATTCGTGGATTATTTTGTGTGCAAGTTCAAACAAGACTTATTACTGCCCACAAAACCCAACAGGTTATGGGCCCAGTCGTTATATTGCGCGAGTAAATATTACAATAAGAGAAACGCAATATGTCGTCCGCGAGTGGTTTCTCGAACATTGAAAAGCTCGCCGAAAATAATTACGAGCTATGGAAAATTCAAATGAAAAGTGTCCTAGTGTACAATGATTTATGGCAATACGTCGATGGCGCCGAGGTCAAGCCGACAGAAGATGCTCAGGACTGGGCAAGAAAGGATTCAAAGGCATTGGCGTTGATAAATTTAAGCATCTCACACAGCCAGTTGAACCACGTGAAGAAAGCCAGTACAGCAAAAGCTGCTTGGGACATTCTCAAGGAAGTGTTTGAGTCAAAAGGGCCGGTGAGGAAAGTTACATTGTATAAACAATTAATAAGAATGGAAAAGAAACCGTCCGAAAAAATGACGCAATATGTAAATGAGTTTTTGTCGAAAGCGAGTCAGCTAGAAGAAGCTGGCATCGAAATTGCCGAGGAATTACTGTAATGTTGCTCAGCTCATTACCGACAGAATACGAAAATTTCTGCGTAGCAATTGAATCTCGTGACCACATACCCACACTAGAGGTCCTTAAGGCGAAGCTAATGGAAGAAAAAGCGAGACAAAGCGATAGGGATGCAAAAACGATCGACACCGGTAAGAAGAACGATGCGTTATTAGCGATTTTGGATAAAGGAAAACACATCGCGTTCCGCGGAAAAAAAAACAGTCTACTCAGTTAATCGGTGCGGGACGGACGCGGAGGTACCGCCGCGAACAGTCCAGTTATACTTACCAATTCCTAAACGATTAATACACATCAATTCCTAGTAATTAATACCTTACGAATTCCTAAACCTGCGTTAATCTTTAAGATTCCATTTTCGTTTCGTAGCTTATATGTATATTATATTATATTTAAATATTATTGTTATACCTAACCAACTTACCTTCAATTTTATTGCGGTTAATATCTACCCTATTGCTAAGTGACAAGTGTTCTATACGTAAGTGACCTTTAAAGAGCTGCTTATATCGTGGTGACGAAAAAGGGCGACACGAATTCATCGTAAACACCTTGGGATCCCTGACAGATGTCGGACGCAAGTGCCGCATGATCAAAAAGATCGTCATATTATCTGCTGTTCCGGGCCTAAGCAATACGCTTACGTGGGCAACGATCCGGGACGTAACATATACTTTTGGTGGCAGCAATGGGAACGATCACCCATCGTGTATGCCAAAGTGTTGCCTTTCCAAGTAAGTCAGTTTCCGTGTAGTGAATAGTGACCGCGGGAAATTTCGCGTTTACCTACGTCATAAAATACAGTATTACCTCGAAACAAGCAACACGCTTCGGACCGGCCAGTTGCTTATTTCGAGGGTGGTATGCTATTCGGCTTGCCTTTGTTCCCGAGCGCGCCGACGGTAGCGGTAAACTATAAAGTAATCGGTCGAGCAGCGATGTTATTCTTTAGACGAGGACAGAACATAACATGCTTTCCCTTTTTAATACTAGTAAAAATTCGTGAATGGAACATGTATATAATACATATTGCCTCGAAACAGGCAACAGTTTCGAGCCTCGAAATTAGCAACTGGCCGATCCCGAGCGAGTTGCTTGTTACGAATCAATGTAGAATCAAATGAATGGATCACGCTCTAATTCCTAACTTGTCACACT